ACAACCAGGAACCATGACATATTGGTTGGCCAAGATAAACTGCAGTGCAATCCAGTACTGCTCGCGCTCATTACCACGGAAGAATCGTGAATATTCTGTGACCAGTACATCATGTCTGCCGCTCATGAAGTACTCTTTCACGTCAATTGTTACCATGGTCACGTTCGTGGTAAACCGTAGAGCACGCAGCCGGCGCAAGAAATGAGAAGTATATTTGACCAAATGGTCCAGTTGGACCAGATGGGGTCTCAGAAGACTGGAGACGAATTCCATCGCAGGGGACAGCGGTGATTGCGGCTGCATGCAATGCAAGCCGCGCAGCTTGCATTGGCCCTGTGGCTCATGCGTCTTGGCCGTGACACCGAACTTGAAATAGTTGTCTTCTGGCGTGCCGCTGGCGCTGACCAGCGCACGAAACATCTGCTGGTCCATCTCATCATCGCCAAGACTCGCGATGTGGCGACATACGTCACGGTACTCAGCACACACGTCTTGCGCATGCCGCCACGATGCCTCTGCGGGAGTATGATACTGCCGATCGTCGAGCGTGCGGAAGATGACAACATTGGGTCGCATCTTGTTAACGACAGCAAAGCCACCATCCTGATCTGTTGGCAGTATACCCCAGATGCTTCTTGAGTTTTTCAAAAGTCAACTTGACGGCCCCGGGCAGGGGCGGCTGCGGATTGGATCGGAGTCTGGCTTTGCGGCAACTCTGCCACATCGTGGACGCCACTTCGTCCACGTATACCCGAAGAGCTTGCGCCAACTCGTCTGGATATTGCCGCGGACGAACCGGTCTCGAAGCAATGTGGCGCCATGGATTCGGCGGCCCATTATTGAAGTGATGCCGCCAAGCCAATATGTTGGACATATCTGTCAACGATGTTGAAATCTGCTCAGGGGGCGGCCTCCGCACGAAGCCGTAAATATGTTTTGTGATTTCGAAGCAAGGACTCCACTTCCCTCGACAGCTGGCCCTTCTTAGGCACCGCCGTGGTGCGAGCGACGGGATCGTACATGTACACGCCAGGGAGCCCCTTCCCACACTGTAGCAGCCCGGCGAGATGTTTAACATCCAACCCTTTGACAAGCGACAGGAAATAAGAAATCATGCATTTGTGATGCGAGCAATTCGGGGGACAGGACGGGCTGCAAGGCGACAGGAGATGGCGCCTCGACGCCTGGGCACGAGTCTTGATGGCTACCAGCCGCTGCCATTTTGTCCGCGACCGCGAGCCTTGCCACGACCTCTGCCCTTGCTCCGGCCACGCCCCCTGCCCCTCGAGGTGCCCTTGCCCTTGTCGCCGTCGCTCTTGGACTTCCCAGCGCCCTTGCCCTTGCCTTTGGCCGCTGCTTTGCCTTTGCCAGAGTTGTGTCTGTCCTGCCTTTGTTCTCGCCCTTGCCTTTGCCTTTGGTCTTCCCCTTGCCCCCGCCCGCGGCGGGGGTGGAGTCGTTTTTCTGGCAGATCGTCAAGTACGACATCCGAGGATAGCTGGCCTGCTGCGCTTTGATCGGAGGTGGACAGACCTCCTACCCTGACACGTCGATTAAGGAATTGGCCGTTTTCGGTTCGCGAGAGGGCGTCGCGGCTATCATTTGTGCGGGTCCAGGTCCGTCGGTTTCGGTCCCGGGCCGTTTTCGCTGAGGGGAGGTTTACTAAAGGGAGGTTTGTCCACCGCCGAAAGTACGACATCCTAGGATAGCTGACCTGCCGCACTTTGAGCGCACCACGGCGCAGGAACCGGCGTCGAAGCGCCGGCACTACTTTTTGAAGACTTCCCACTCAAAGCGTGGATTGGCGAGTCGACGAACAAAGTCGAGACTTCTTCCGGAGGCTTCTCAGAAACGGAATCCGCGATCCGTTTCGCCCCCGCCTCTTCCTTCTGTTGATCCAGGCCCCTCTGTGTCCGAGCAGCCGCTTGGTCGATCACCTCGCGGTGCAACACGACGAGCTTAGGGCGCAGGGCTTCGTGATCGACGCCCACTTCTTCGTCTTCGTCGAGACCGAGAAATGCGAAAGGCGACGGTCTGGACGCTTCCACGGCGAGGCATGTGGCCACGAAGCTCTCGCGAGAGCCCTTCTGCTTCAAATCTGCTTGCTGCTTCTCTATGAGCAAGAGATCCAATCGCTTCTGATATCCCAAGTGCTGCGTGTACAACTGCACGTTTGCTTCTCGGGTAGACATGCCCCCCAAATCAACGTGCATGTGCAAATCACTGGGGGTGAGCTCAGAATCCAAGAACATGCTCTGGTAACTGATTGTGAAAGGGCGGACACCAGAAGGGATTTAATAAACCACTGAACAACTTATCCGTCTGCTCTTGCTATTGTGCTTTGCGGTCCATCAATTTCTGAAGAGAATCCATATGGGCGAGCAAAGCCAAGGATGCACTCTTCATTTGGATCTGGACCTCTGAGCTCACGTAGCCCTTGAGCAGGCTCTCGATGCACTCGCGGATTTCAAGTTGATTAGCGCGGCCAGAGTCAGCAGCCATCCGCCCGCCACCTGCCGCCGCCGTCGCGGCCGGCTCTTCTGCCGCAGGGCGGAGGCCGGCCACCTGGCTGGCAGGAGCTAGGCCTGGGGCTCGGCCCGGCCGGAGCTAGGCCTGGCAGGAGCTAGGCCCGGCAGGGGGCAGGATAACGGGAGGGCGCGAGGAGAGTCGGATGTTGATAGACCTCCTACCTTGACACGTCGATTAATGAATTGGCCGTTTTCGGTTTGCGAGAGGGCGCCACGGCCGTTATTTTTGCGGGTCCAGGTCCGTCGGTTTCGGTCCCAGGCCGCGTTCATTGAGGGAACGTTTACTAAAGGGTGGTTTGTCCACCGCCGAGAGAGGTTGGGGCCACTCACCATCCGACACGAAAACCAAACATAGTAAGGTTGCACAGAGCCAGTGTCCAGATTCAGTTGTGCTACGCAGCAGGGGCTGCTGCGCAGAGATTCCCCAGCACGACGCCGAAACCTTGGGGGTCGTAGGTGGTCTTGTCTTGCCTCGTCATCGCCCCTTCCCCCTCCTGGAGAGGCAGGTGGGTAGCTGGGGGACGGAGGGGGGGGGAGGGAGGGGGGGGGGGGGGGGGGGGGGAAGAGGAGGATGAGGAGGAAGAGGAGGAGGAGGAGGAGGAGGAGGAGAAGGAGGGGGCGAGAGGAAGGGTAGGAGGAACGGGCTCGAACCGTGCAAGGGCAGCCTCAGGCATGCTGCCCTTCTGGTCGCCCCCTCACTCAGCGCGGCCGCCTTCAGCCACCAGCCGCGATGGCAGCGCGGGCGCCGCGCTTCCTTTTCGTCGCCACTCACGACGCGAAGGTCGCGCCAACCCGCTTGGCATCGCCGTCTACGCTTTAGGCGTCAGCGCCCCCGGTAGGCGCGCAAAGCGCCAATTGTCTTTGTTCAGAAGCACGCGCTAGATTTGGCAAATGCCCCGAAGCCCGTCAGAAGCTCCCGAAGCGGCTTGGGGCTTCCCTCTGGGCCCCATGCTCCGTTGGCCCGCTGGCTATCCGAGCGGGGGCGCGTTAGCGCCCTCGCAAGGAAGCGCGCCGATGCTGGGTCGGCCCCCGCAGCTTGGTAAGCCAGTCCATTCGGTAGGCTCCTGCATGAGCGTTATAAGACCAAAGTGCATGGATTCACCAGTCTGCATTCGAGCCACGAGGTCTCGGGCAGAGGTCTGGAGCGCGAGAACAGATGGCTGAGCATGGTTTTGGGAAACCGAGCACTGGAGACAGTGGCGGCGTTTGATGCGGGATGCTATTTGTCGCTGGCGCCGCACATGTCGACCTGGGGCCTGACGCGCGCGAAGAAGCTCTGAACCCGTGTCTGGGGGGCATACAGATCGACCAGATGCCGCTGCCATTGGTCGGCGCAGCTGCGGCTCGACGATTAATGTCCTCATGCGCAGCCGCCTTCTATCGGAAGGGGTCTTGGACCGCAGAGCGGTTCTTGGCGCGCGACATCCAGTGGCATCGGCCAGCGCGCCTGGATCTCGCCGAGGACACTCAGGGATGCCACGTCTCAAAATAGGACAATGCCAAGAGACCGCGGCCGCGAGGCCCATTGGGCCGCCCCCTGCCCCCCCCCAGCATGGCGGTCTTTTGCGAGCCCTTTTGCAGATTCCCTGGAGCGCTCGCGCCGCGCGCGGGCCTCCCCCGCCCGGTGCCGCCTGGGCGCCGCGCTGAGATCCAAGCGCTCAGGGGTCGGATCTGCGCCGAGTAGGCAGCCCGCGCGGGGGCAGAGGAGGAGGAGGAGGAGAAGGGGGAGGAGGAGGAGGGAAGTTGCAGGGCGCACTTCACGCCGCCGTCAATGATACGCGGCGGGAAAGGGGGGGGGGGGGGGGCGCTTCGGTTCAAGGGGGCGTCGCCCGCCGAGCTCTTCACCGCCCTCGGCGGCCCTTTCCATTTTATGTTTATTTTAGTTGTTCGAGGAGGCTGCAGGGCCTCAGGAGCTCGATGAGCAAAGGCGCCCCCCCCCACCCTACGAGACCCATTATTCTGTTGTTCTCTACGTTCAAAGATCTTTCAGGAATGCCGCCCCGGGTCTCCGCGCACCCCTCCGCGACGCATGGCCAGATGGAAATCTTCCCTGGAAGCCGCTTCAGATATGTTTTCTGCCGCGGCTTTCCCACCGTTCGCCGCGCGCGCCCCGGGCTACTCTAGACGCCCGACTGGGGCCCTCGGCCCTCCTCGCGAAACTTCCGGGGCATCGCGCCTGCAGGGTGGAAATTCACAGAAAGAAGCCGCGTGGGCTGCTCAGCGTTCCAGGGCTCAGGAGGGGGGCGGTCGTCGGGCGCGCGCGCGCACGACGCCGGCAAGCAGTTTCAAGGAGGACATTTGAGTGAAAGAGGGGGGGGGGGGGGGGGGCGCGCGCTCGTTCACCGCCAGATATTATGCTCAGCCGGACACGCGGCTGGCAGCGCGGCAGATTTCCAGCGCGCCAGCTCCTCGCATCAGCATGCATCTCCCTCCTGACCGCAAGATCCCCGAATCCTTTAATGGCGAGGACTGCAGATGATCTCCCTGCGCTCCAACGGATTTCACCCCAGGCACTTCAGCAACCCGACCTCCAAGGCCCTAGAGGTGATGCCGAAGCTGCCCCCGGCCCAGGTGGCAGTTGACGGCCAACTTCTTTCGCAGGTGTTCACGGTGCACTTGCTTCAGACGCCTGAGAGGGAGAGAAGGTTTTCGCGTTCCAAAGTTATCGAATGGCCTTCGGCCCATCCCGCCACCGCGCCTGGGTCGCGGGCATGAAGCCCAATGGATTTCCGGTCAGATCTCGTAGGGGCCATCTGGAGGGCCTCTTGGAAACAGTTTGGAGGCTTCTTGGGGCCCTTGTGGGTGCCTTGTGGGGCCTATTTGGGAATTCTTGGAGGCCCCCTGGGGGGCCTATTGAGGGCGTCTCGGTGCCTCCAGAGCGCCTCTCGGAGCCTCCTGAGGGCCTCGGAGCGGAAGGTTTGGATTTGTGGTCCGCATAGATTTCGGAGTTCAGGCTCCGCGCCCTTGAAAGACTCCTCGGAATTAGGCACAGGCCCCGACGGCGCGCCCACTCCACGCCCGGCGCATGGTCTGCAAGGCCCAGGGCGGGCGCCGCAGCTCTCGCGGACCTGAGCGGGGCACCTCGAGGCCTTCAACAGGGCCCTCGGCAGGTCCACCACGGAAGGGATCTGGAGGCATGCGGCGCGCGCCGCCGTGGCTGAGGATTGCGGCGAGGAATTAGGGGCCCTCGTGGCGGACGCGCAGCAGTGCTGCGAGCGCGTCGCCCATGCAGGCTCGTGGCGCGAGTGCTGCTTGGCGCAATTCCCGTTGCACCTGCTTGCGACTGGTGAAGTCATGCCACCGCCGGCCACGCGAGGTTCCCATGGACCGCGCATGTTCCAATAAGTTGCGTCCCAGACGGGGCGTCGTTGCAGGCCGCTGTGCCGCCTCTTTTTCCTCAGGGCGCACATGGTACCCATCGGTTTTGGAGCTCTTGGAAGTGCCCTGGGTTGGTCTCGCGATCCACGCGGGCGATCTTAAATTCAACGCGCGCCACGTGCATACCGTTGAGTGTCTCAACAAGCCACGCCGGCGCGCCAGCCAACTGTTTGATTTGCGCGCGACCCACCTCGGCGCGCCAGTTGCGCTTCAGACAAAGGTTTTTTTACGAGCAAACATAGAGGGGCCATGGACTTGGCGCCAGCTGCTCCGGGCACGCGCAGGCACGCGTTGACGGGGGGGGAGCCTGGGGGTGGATCTCTCTGCGGGGGCCTTGAAGGACAAGCATGTACACGCACCCACGCAAGTCAAAACGCGATAAGAAACGGGCCCCATAGGCCACGGCGCTCAGGAGGACGCGAATAATCAGAGGGACGCTGGGCGAAACTGGAGCCAAAGCCAAGCTGTAGTTCATATGCCAGAAGCCTGACATCGCCAACGGCTGCGACGCCGTGGCATTATCTCTTCAGAAAGGCCATCTTATTCGGGCGCCAGGAGCCAAAGCGCAAGGGGACTGGCGCCCTTGGAGCCCCCATCGGCCCCAGGGCCCTCCACCCCAACAAGCGCGCAGTCAGCCGCGCCGGGGATGTGGACTCCCCAGAATGGCGGGAGGCTCGTGGCGAGGACGTCAAGTTCGTCGCTTGGCTTTCGGTTGGGCAGCTCACGGAGGCTTGTCATTGTTTCTGAGAGTGCCCGGCGGCCACGCCAGTCCGCGGGCGCGCGCCCGTGCTTTATCGCGTTGGCTCGACGCAAGGACCTGCAGCGTACGTACTTGCAGATCGGCTCGAACAGCGCTGCCATGCACTCCAGGAGAGCGATGAGGGCGGCTGACGTCAAGGAGGGGTACGTAGGCAGAGCCAGCGCGAACGCTAGTTGCGCACGAGCCTGGGCGACTCTTGGCGCATTGACCAGAACATCGGCGAGACTGCCGCGGCCGCGGGCCCCGAGGACCCGCTGTATGATTCCACGGAGACCCGCGCCGCTGATCGAGCAACTTGGGCGCGCATGCGACGCAGCCCGCTCCTTCGCGACAGATGGCCCGAACGAATGTTTCCCATTCCCCAGCAGCGCCAGCATTTCTGATGTTGGTTTGGCGATCAGCCCCGCGCGCGACCTAAGTGGCGGCAGGAGCATGGGCTGCTTTCGATGCAGATGACGCAGGCAGCCCCCGCCAACTGCATGGGAGGCAGCACCCCCGCGAGCCTCCCACGTGCTGCGGCTTCGGCCGAGCACCGTGGGCCCGTGCACGTTGTCGAACATTGCCAACCAGGTTCTTCAGACATGCGTATGCACGTCGATTGTGCTGCACTGGTCTGGGGCTCAAGGGACCTCGCGGCGGCCTCCTAGGAGAAGACGGCCCAAGCGGGCCACTGGAGACGAATCTAGCAAGTTGGCAAGCCTCTTCTTTTTTTTCGGGGCATCCACAAGGCCAAGGAAGGATAATGATAGGCCGAGTGGAAAACTGGAGCGCATTGGTGGGCAGATGTATTTGCCAAGTGAGCTCGGAAGAAAATCCCAGTTTCGTAGACATCAATGCTGCGGCCGAGGCGCAGGAAGAGCATGTTGCCGTTGGGAGAGCCATGACGTTTATGCTCAGCGCTTGGCCACGCGCCAGGTGGCTGTTCGGGGACCTCGGGCAGACTCCCTGGATGCCAAGCGAACCAAGTGTTCCACTGGCATACAAGCGACGCTGGATTCAAGATCGCTGGAAGCGCACGCAGTGCAACAGAACGTTTCCGACTGAGTCGGCTGTCGGCTCGAGCTCGCGTGGGGGCCGTTCTCCGTGCCCCCCCGTGTGCCGCTGGGCACCCATCGCGAGTTCAGGCGCGCCCGCTTGCGCCACGCGGGAGCAGGTTTAGTCTCTGCCGCCGCTGTGGCTCGCGCCCCACAGGTCGGAAAACCAAGGGGGGTACTTTTAAGTCGGGCTTGCCCCTCTACAGGAGGAATATTACCCCAGTGCGACCCTACCTAGAAGTTGGAGCCCCTAGGAAAGCAGCATTAGCTGCTATGCTATGTTATGCCATGCTATTCTGCGCCCTGCTTTGTTATGCTATGCTATGACATGCTGCACTATGATATGATATGGTATTATATGTCATGATGTGCTATGTTATGCTATGCTATGCTATGCTAAGCTGCGCCATGCTCTGCTCTGCTATGCTATGCTATGCTGCGCTGTGCTCTGCTGTGCTGTGCTGCGCTATGCTATGCCATGCCATGCTATGCTGCGCTATACTGTGCTATGCTGGGTTTTGCTCTGCTATGCTGTGCTCTGCTATGCTAAAGCTCAGCGAAGCTAAGATGAAGGTAAGCTAAGCTAAGATAAAACTGAGGTAAGATGAAGCTAAGCTAAGGTAAGACGAAATAAGCTAAGCTAAGATGATATAAGCAACGCGAAGCTAATGGAACGTCACTGGGGGAACCGCGGGGCGGATACTGGGGGAACCGCCCGGGGCGTGCCCCTCTGCCCGGCCCTTTAAGCTACGAAGTAAGAACCCTTCTAGGCAGAGCCTAGGTAGGGAATGACAGAATAGTCAAAGAATAAGATGGGGACTATTTTTGCGGTATGTTTAGGCATCTTCCGAGTATTTTTTAATATTTTTATTTTTCGTCCAAAATCCCCCTGTAGGGGGACAGGCCCGACCTAAGATTACTTCGCCCGTACACTTCATTGAAATTGAAACGCAGGTTTCGACGTTTTTCAGTCGCAAGTTGCCGCGGCACCCCGGGCCACAACGCGAAATTTCAAAGGCGTGGGCGCCCGGGGCCCTTGCGTCTGATTTGGGGCCGCTCTTCGCCAAAGCCGCCCCCAGCCATTGAAACCATGTAGTCTGGAATTGCTTGTAGATGCAAGCCTGCATCGCGCCTTGAAGATATCCTTGTAGACGCCGCCCGCGCGAGCCCCTCGGGAACCGATCAGGGGGGGTTCTTGTGGGCGTCCCATGGAGAAAAGTATGCAGCAACCTTCGCTGCTGAGGATCACATGTCCTCGGTTCCGAATTTCATGTTTTGGCGTTTCTTCAAAATCCATGTTAGATAATCGGCGATCGCCAGCTCGCGCGCCGATCGTGTTCATGGTTTGTGTGGATGGGGTGCCTGTATCAGGCAAACAAGAATGGAGGAGGATGAGGAAGAGGAGGAGGAGGAGGAGGAGGAGGAGGAGGATGTACGTCGAGGGAGGACGAAGGGGGAGGAGTCAAATAGGCTTTGAATTTGGATCCCCAGATCACTTCAAGAATCCACGTTGGCAAGCTTTCCGAGCTGCGTCAAGCCGTGTCGACGAGAACCCCCTTAGCAGCCCCCAGGAATGTTCGAAACGAAAGAGGGGGGGGAAGAGGAGGAGAAAAAGGAGAGGAGGAGGAGGGCGAACAACCTTGCAGTGGGTCGCGTTTTATATAGTTTTGCGTGAAACCTTGGATGAAATACCATGAGATGCGAGGAAGAGGAAGAGCAGGAGGAGGAGGAGGAGGAGGAGGAGGAAGAAGAGACCCACGAGGGAGGAGGCTGGAGGAGGGAAAGACGGGGGGGAGGAGCAGGAAGAGGAGGGAGGAGACGGAGGAGGAGGAGGAAGGAAGAGACGAGGAGGAGAAGGAGGAGGAGCAGGAGGAGGAGGAGGAGGAGAAAGAGCAAGGGGGAGGTCTGTGTTCCGCTCCCGACGCCGGCCCCCCCACCCTCCCCCGGCCGGTCTCCGTCGCACCCGGCCGCCCGCTCGAAGGCGCTGGCGCTGCGGCTGGGGTGACTGGGCGCTGCCGAGCGCTCGGTCTGCGCTCTGCCTGCCGGCGCGCACAACCGAGGGTCACCAGCCTGGAACTCTGGACGCCCGACATGGGTACCGAAAGAATGGGTACGATGCCCAACAGCAGTTCCTGTTCATTTTGAACAGGCCTCGCTGTCCGCGCCGCCGCGGCCTGTGTCCATTCGAGACAGGAGGCCGCCTGCCCAACAGCGGCCGCTCTTGGTTTGGGACAACATTTGCTGTTGGGCATTGTACCCATTCTTTCGATACCCATTTCGGGCGTGCAAAGGAACGTATCCCTATCCCTATGTTTGACATCAGCTCACCTCGATGCCGATCTGAAGGATTCCCTCAGAATTTGAGGGCCTATCCCTAAGATTGTCCTCGCTTTTTGCTCGCCCATCTTAGGGATAGGGATACGTTCGAGGCTGGTTAGTTTGCCTGCCGGAGCGCACAACCGAGGGTCACCAGCCTCGAACGTATCCCTATCCCTAAGATTGGCACGCCAAGAGGCGATGACAATCTTAGGGATTCGCCCTGAAAAACTGAGGGAATCCCTAAGATTGGCATTGTGTTGATCGGGCGAAGAGAACTATGCACATGCACCGGTCCTGGCCAGGCCCATCCTTGGCCCCAGGATCGGTGCATATGTCTTCCTGGCCAAGGCAGGAGGGCGTATGCACCGATCCTGGGCTCGGGATGGGCCTGGCCAGAATCGGTGTATGCGCATAGTTTTTTGTTCCTCTAGTTGAGGCGATGCCCAGCTTAGGGATAGGGAGATGTTCCAGGCTGGTAAGGGGGGGGGGGGGGCGCGAGGCTAGCGGCCGCTCACCAGGGGCACGGCGAGGGAGGGAGGGGGGGGGGGGGCAGGCCGAGGGGGCACGAGGCGCCGAGGCTCGAGGTGCGAGGATTTCAGGAGGGGGGAGAACACACAGACACCTATCATCATCGATTCTCGGGTCGGGCGAAAGGGGGGGATTGGGAAAGGGGGGGTTACGAAATTTGCTGCATGCAGCTGGTTTCGGCCTTACCGAGGAGCCCATTCCTCGATACATAGCCGCCTCCGGCGCCAGGAGGCGCCGGGAAAATCAGCTACGTGAGCTGATTCTCAAACCCCCCCTTTGCTATCCCCCCCTTTCGCCCGACCCGAGATTCCCCAGAAAATAGGGGAAAGTATGGGAAGTGGGGGGGGGGGACAAAAACCCAGAAGATATGGGAAAAGATTGGGAATATTTTGATTTGTGTGTACGTATTTGTGTGTCCCAGGGCCCCTTCAGAGGCTCGGGGCAGAAGGATTCCGGACGGCGTGGTCGGTTCCTGGGCGCCCTCCAGCCTGCGGGGTGCCTTCCACCAGCTGCGCCACCGCCAAGGGCCTCCCTGGGTGCCAGGGTCGTCCCGAACGGCCGCCGGGGAGGCGAGTGGTGGCCCGAAAGCCTTCGGGTTGACGTTCAGGGGGTGACAGGCCCAAGGGGGCGACGCATCGACCCCCGGACGCCCATAGATCGCCGATGGGGGCCCGATGGGATTCGCCATTGGGGGCAGGTCGTCGATCTTACGTCTCCCCGATTATCGTTGCCCCTGAAGCGGGCGCTGCCGAACGCACGGTGCGCATTGTCGTTGGCGGCGGTGGCGAGACTTAGTCAGGCCTTCTACGAAGGCGGGGGCTTCTGAGAAGGCAGGGGCCTTCTTTCGGGGTCGGAGGATCGCGCCGAATCGTCGATGCGTCGGCGATGCGGCTCGATTTTGAGCCAGATTTTCTCCACGCCATTCTCGCCGATGCATCGGAGATGCGATGCGATCCGCCGGCCCAATTTACAGTCAAACCGCATAGTGAGGATGAGCGACTTTCCAAGGTTAGTTGCCCCTGCATCCTTCCCATTCGGCCCATCGTCGGCCGGTTTTACTGGCCGCGCCCCGCTCGCAAAGTGTCGGCATGGCCATCCAAAACGCTTGCATCCTTATCGCGCGTCCTTATTCTTCGGAGGTTGATTGACCTCTTACCCTGACACTTCGATTAGCGAATTGGCCGTTCTCGGTTCGCGAGAGGGCGTCGCGGCCGTCATCTTTGCGGGCCCAGGTTCGTCGGTTTCGGTCCTGGGCTGTTTTCACTAAAGGGGGGCTGACTAAAGGGAACTTAGTCCACCGCCGAATTATACGGGTTGATTGCACTCGGACCCCATCAGTAGGGAAACAATAAGTGGCATAAACATAGAAATTCGGAGGTCCGCGCGGACTTCTCGGATCGGCGCTGGACCCCCCTCCCTGGCGCGCGGAGCGCGCCAGGGGCGGCGCCGGAGGCGCCGCCGGGGGGCCCCAGCGCCGATCCGAGAAATCCGCGCGAATTTCCGAGTTTTCATGTTTATGTCACTTTTTGTTCCCCGATGATTGCGCTCGGACCCCCAACAGGGAGGCCGCCATCCCTAGGCGGACCAGCGTGCTTCGCAGAAGCCCCCACGCCCTCCGAGGCGCTCCCCTGCCCTCGCGGGCGGGCCGCTCCCCTCGCCCCCCCCCCCCCCCACCCAAAAGTGGGCGCGCGCCGCTGGAGGCGGCAACGCTCTCGGGGGGGGATCTAACAGAAGGAGGTGCGCGCTCGACGGAGGACGAGGGGGAGGGGCCGGGAGGAAGGAGGGGCGAGGGAGCAGGAACAAAAGAGGGGGGAGGGGAAAGGCGACGGGTGAGGAGGAGGAGGGGGAGGCAGAGGAAGAGGAGGAGGTGGAGGAGGAGGAGAAGACAGGCGAAGTGCGGGGGAAAAGGGGGGGATTCAAAGGGAGGGGATGAGGAGGGGGAGGGAGGAATGCAACCGAAGGGAAGGGAGGAGGAGGAGGAGGAGGGGGAGGAGGAGGAGGAGAAGGAGGAGGAGGAGGAGGGAGGAGGAGCAGGGGGGAGGAGGAAGGGATGGCGGAGGCAGCGGAGGAGGAGGGAACAGCAATGATGCGGATGAGGCAGGAAGAAGCAGGAGAAACAGGAGCGGGAGGAAGATGAGGGAGGAGGAAAAGTGGATGAAGGAGGAGGAGAAAGGGGGGAGGCGGAGGAGGAGGGATGGAGGAAGGCATGGAGAGGAACAGGAAGAGAAGGATGACAGGGGACGGAGGATGGAAGAGGTCGAGGGAGGACGATAGGGAGGACGAAGTGGGGGAGGAACAGTAGGAGAGAGGATGGACCAGGAAGTGGAGGAGCAGCAAAGGTGGGAAGGACAGGGAGGAAGAACAGGAAGGAGTGAGGAAGGCGGAAGGATAATTAGGCGACGAGGGTGTGGAGTATGAAGACGATCAGGGAGGGAGGGGGTGCGTTCGAGTTGTAAGCGTTGGATGAGATACCATGAGATGCGAGGAGGAGGAGGAGGAGGCGGAGGCGGAGGCGGAGGAAGGAATAAGTGGATGACCTGGATGTTTGAAACCGAATTGCGTATTCGAAATGTATAATTCTACATGGTTCACGTATCCCCACCAGCCCATCCAAAAACGATACCCAGGCGAGTTGCACTGATTAGAGCGCGTAGTGGAAGAAAGCCTGGGGATCCGCCATACTCCAAGAGGGGCAAGAGAAACCAGGGGAGGAGGTGGAGGAGGAGAGCGAGGAGAGAGAAGGGAGGAAGTGGCCAAGAAGGAGGAGGATAAGGCGTATGAGGAAGAGGAGGAGGAGTAGGAGAAGTGGAAGAGGAGAAGGAGGAGGAGGAGGAGGAGGAGGAAGAAGAGGGGGAGCAGAAAGGATTGAGGCCTTTGGGATGCCTCTCGGAATTGCTCCGGATGTCTCTTGAGAGTTTCGTGTAGGCTTCTTGGGGCCTCTTTGGGGAAGCCTCGTCGGGCATCTTGGGGGTCTCTTTGAAGCCCCTCAGGGCCATCTTGGGGGCGCGTTGGGGCCTCTTCGGCGCCTCTTAGGACTTTCTTGGGGCACTGTTGAGACCCTCGGGGGATGCCGATTCGCAAATCCCTGGCAATTACCTGACAAGTTCGCCCAGGCTCCACCAGCGGCACTTGCACCAGCTGCGCCAGCAGCTGAACCTACGCAGCCAAGCGCGCGGCCACGCGCACCTCTTCCTACGCGGAGGAATCCTGGGGGTGCTGATCCTACAGCAGGCGCCAGAAGCTACGACGTGACACGAGGAAACTGTGTTGGCAGCTTCACTGATCCGCCGCGCATGGTGGGGCGACGCGGGCGCGAGCAAGGCGGCGCAGAGCCACCACCGTCTCAACCCGAGGCTGAAGCACGGCCACGCGCCATATTACCTGACTGGATCCGTTTCGACATACAGACCACTCTTCATAACTTGCGTACTTACATCCCTTGGCTAATATTAAAGAAACCCCGTCAGTTACACTTGTGGTGGCATAGCGCCCTGGAGCCGAAGATGCGCATGCTTCTGTCGATGCACGAACGAACATGACCAAAGGTGTCTGCGACTCATGCCGCGGGTGCCGTGCCTCGGAGAAACTTGGTAACACAGCCATGCCACACATTTGCTTTCTTTGCGTAAGTAGAACGTGACCTCATGGTATACAAATAAGACATCGCGTTCCACATTATCGACCGATGCATCAGGCAGGCGGCAGGCACGCAGGCAGGCGATAATGCGATGCACGCCATTTCGGACGCCGATCGCCAGAGTTGGACGCAGCATGGCCCAGCTCTGAGACAATTGTCCGACGGTGAGGGCACCCTAAAAAACGAGACTGCGAAAACCACTCTTGAGAGCCAAGGGCACGGAATACGCATCCGCGCGCCCGAGGCCAACATCCCACCACAACACACCCAAGTCGCCATGGAGGAGGAGCTCAAGAGGCTAGATATGCCACTGGTGTTTCCTTGACTACTGCACGAGGGCCGCTGCGTGCGCAATGAGTTTACGCTGCATAATGGCGTGCCGCCAGATCAAGCCGTCTACTGCCGACAACTAGTTTGTTTCCCCGATCTGCCGGAAGTAGGCCACGAACAATGGGCTTAAAAATCAGACCGTAGCCAGGAACAGATGATCAGGGGGGTCGCGCAGGCCACAGCAGTGGCCAAGGTCAACCGAGCGCTACGCACCAAGACGACGACTGCTGAGCATCACATGTACAAGCCAGGCGACATTGTGGACGTCAATCGACCTATGACCACTAAAGACGACTGAGGCAGTTGGAACAAACCATGCCCCGTCATGCGCAATACCCCAGACCGAGGCCAGGCAGTAGTTTAGGCCGGAAGCCGGGAGTTCCGGGCACGGTTTCCAAATCTACGCGACGCACCACATGACGGGCACGAGAACAGTTTTGTCTTCCACTGCGCGCCTGCACGCGGGTGACTTGGCTATGGCGTTCGGCGATCTGCCCACCATCTAAGGACACTCGCGGATCACCACGGCAAGAAGATTCTCTCCGAAGGTACATGCGGCCATGCAGTTTCTCATCAGGGACTACTTCTGCATCGAGAACGTAGCGGCCGTGCGCTTGGCCAAAAGCACCCCGCTACCACCCGCGGCATCAGTCGCCGATAGTTGCACAACGTGAATGAAGATGGCGACGTCACCCCAGGATTCCAGCACTATGAATCCTCAGGCACCGCATTCAGAATACACGGCATCATCGGGTCAACCCACACACAAGTCATTCAATGCCTCAAGTCCACCAATCTCTTGGCAGGTTCCGACGAGGGCCTGCCCAAAATCGAAGATCTGGCGGACGCGCCACGAGCGGGCAACAACGCTCAGGCGAAACAGGCGCGAGCACCTCACGCCGTCGACGGCGGTCGCCCCCGAACCATCCGCTCGGAATCAGTGGCGGACTTCGACGCGCGCATCCCTGACGCACGGCATACGGAACGTCGAGGACAGAAGGCCTCCTGGACGAGACCCAGAATCGCCCCCGTGGACAGCACTTGCCGAGATGTTTGCAGAACGCTGCGCGCCTGCGTCGTCGACCAGTGACGGGCGAGGAAGTCGGCAGAGACACGCGCCGTCAGGACGCCGTGGAAGAGACGCGCCCCGCCTTCAAATCCACGACAGAACACGACAAGTCCCACGGCATGTACTCGGAAGAATGCGGCCCGCACGCAGAGCGCTGCTGTACAACCGAGATGGCCACAGATGCCTTGATGGAGCACAGACACAATCGACGCGCTGACGGCCAGAAGACCCCCACGCGCGCGCACGCGGCAGCTGCGCCCGAAAGAGCTCCCGCCGTTTACCTACGAAGGCAGAAATTCAAGCAAATCTCGAGATTTTCTCCACAGCGCCGCAAACTGAAGCGAAGATATGGTTCGGCAATATTGCTGCAAGATGCAGGACGCCAGCGCGTCGAGGATCATGACATTACGGCGCGCGAACGAGCGGAAATAAATTTGCGGGGAACTGGGAAGGCGACCGCGAGGCGCACTATCAGCTTGCGCGCGGTCCCTCGCGGCCCCGCGGACGTCGAGGTCTTCGACGCGGAGACAATTTCAGGGGCTGCCCTGGGAGATCGCCAGCGATTGCCCGCAGGAGCGGCCGCGCGCATGAAATTCCGGACAATTGCGCCCATGGACATGCAGGCGGTTCCATGAAGGGCCCGGCACGTCGCGCGCCGGCTGAAGCCGCCGGAGAAAAGGATAATGGCACGTTGCACGGTGCCTCCTGGCTGCCCCGCGACGAACCCCGTCGCCGCTCAATTTGACCGACGCCGGGAATGGGCGCCATGGGCGCCCCAGGGGCGCCCTCGTCAAGAGCCAGGACCACCACGGCAGGCCTCGGACTCAAACCGACGTCGCGCGAAGAGGAATTCAGGGCGAGCGCGTCTCTTTGCGGCCCGACATGTAGACGACATCACCGCGGCATGCGTCGAGGACACAATGGTGAAAATTCTAGGCGGGTAGAGGCCACGCTCGGCGCGCGCGAGCTTAACCAGCGCAGCAGCGCAAACCGCGCCGCGCGCTGCACCGCAACCGAGAACAGCCACGCCGAGCTCGACCCACAGGTATACATCCAACACTCTCGCCCTGCTTGATTTTGAACTCATGGGGGCCGAAGCAGAAGAGAGGTCAACGAACGCTGCGTCCGGCGCGCGCGTCAGCTCACGCGGTGCGTTGGCACGCGCCCTGTTTTACCAAGTATGGCCACGGGTGCACGCGATCTTTCTACAACGCGCCCAAGAACCGACCGACGCACAAGCGCGTCGGCTCAACGCAGCAGCGCGCAAGTTGCAACGAAGTCCGGAGGACAGTATAGATCAGATGGTGACTCCGACAGCATAAATGGACCCACGCAGCGAGTCAGGTCATCGCCGCCACAGCGGCGAGGCCGACGACGAAGTGGAGCGGCACGGCGTCCGAAGGCGCAACCCCGCAATTGCGCGGGCACGCGCCGAGCGGAGAGGTGGCTGCGCATCTGATTGATGCACATTGTAGATCACATCGGCAGCAGGTACGATCCAGCTATCACATCGAAGCACTTGCTGCAACGCACAACTTGGATGGCTGCCGCCTTGTCCTCGATGCGCTGCGCGAGCTTAAGGCTGGACCACGCGCTCCGAGACAACTAGAGAACATCTTAGAGTTAGGTCGTCTGAGCACCTAGGCGAACCTCATCGTCGACGCCGAGTCGGTTTTCAAGTCCTCAGACCTCAAGAAGTCCACTGGGCGCACCCTCTCGGCCACGCCAGTCGGATTTGGCAGACGGTGGAAAGTGGCATTGCATATAGCGCGCAGATGCGCGACGCGCGTGACATGGCGGCCGATAGACGCACCAGAGGCTTCGCCGACCGCGGGCAACTCTAACAAGTCATGGCTGGCATCGTTTTCGTTGAAGTCTGATATAGAAGAGTGCTTGCCCTACAGAGGAGGGTGGCCGACGGGTCCTGAGCCTGACCCATATCGGGCCAGTGGCTACGGTGCTCGCGCGGGCATGGGCACATGCTTGCGTTCGCCCGGTCACGGGCTACACGCTTGCCGATGCCAGCTCACGAGCTTCAGCCGCGCTCGCAGCGCGAGCTCTGGTGTCCGACGATTCATTCGGATACCTATGTGTAATTCTAGCCAGATGGGCCCACTGCTCGGTTGGAGCGGTGGGTGTGCCCCTTCTGCACATCTTGTTGCGCCAGCCAAGGGCAGCGTTTTCCACGGCTGGCTCTTTCTGCACCAGTAGGTATTCATATGTTGGTAGCCTCCTTGCCAAAGCAAAAAGGTTGCCCGTTATATTGGCACGTACCTCGTGCAACTATTCCAGTTCAGGTATATGGTATCTTGACGCGGCCCGTCGCTCGACCCCCCCTTCCTAACTTTGAACGGAGGTCAAAGGCGAGATGCGAGCGACGCGCCTGCGTCCCGACGCCGCCTGGGCTCAAGCGACGTCGCTCTATATGACTGCCCCAGAACGTGGGTCACTATAGCATCCGAATAACGGAAAATAAAGGTCCACTCCATTCGGCGATGCACTTTCTAGCCCCATGCTTCTTCTCTATCATCTACCATCTCAGACCTAATGCGTTGATGAGTCATGGGGTACTATGGGACGCTTATGGCGTAGTATATGCTACGGTTTACCATATCCATGTCGATTCCCCAACACTCGCGATTTGGGACCCCGGGGGGGAGGGGACGGGGACGGGGACAGCCGAATGTTTCATGCGCCTTGTCGCCCCTGGCCACCTGGGGTCGGCGGATTTAGCAGTAGCCTTGCACGTTCGGTAGCCAGCAGTTTGTGCGAGGTTGGTCTAGTCCAGTCGGGGCCTCGCAGATGGCATCCGCTCAGGCTCGGCCGTGCGCAAGATGGGGCAAGGCGCGGGGAAAGGTTTTCCGAGAAAACACCCCGACAGCTAGAACCCCCTAGCCGTGCAAGGAGGCTTCTCGGAAAGCAAGCAGTGTAACAAACATAAGCTCCGCATGTCCGCGCGGATTTCTTGGGCCGTCGCGGCACCCCCGTCCCTGGCACGCGGAGCGCACCAAGGGCGGCACCGGAAGTGCCGCCACGGGTTCCAGGGCCGATTTGGGAGGCCCGTGCGGACTTCCGTAAGTTTGTGTTTACGTCATTGCTGTTCGATGTCAGAAGCCCGCCTCACTTGCCCTGCCACTTCGTGCGCTCCGCTGGCTCGTAGGTGGCGACGGCCCGGGCGCAACAGTTCGGCTTGTAGCCTTTTTTAAAAGACCGGGTCGGCCAAGGCTGCGCGAGGGCGCGCCAGTTTGACAACATCGAACCATCGCGCACAGGAGAGGGAGGAACCAATTGATGTTAGAAACGCTGGGAGCGTTTGTGTCCTACGTGTTTTTCAGCTGTTCGTTTTCGGCCGGCCAAACGCAGAGTTAATGCCGCGACACCGGGAAACAAACATGAACAAAGTGTCGTACCAAACAGAACCGAACCGAAAACGGCACGAACGAGAATCCCAAGCGAAGCAGCACAGCCCCCAACACATTGGAAATCCAGTATACCTCGAAATATGAGAGAAAAACAAAAAAACGTCGATCGTGACAACGAGATCAGGAAACACCCAGCGTTTTAAACATCATCTCAGGGCAAGTATTGTCAACACATTTGTAGGGGGAACGCTGCGGCGAGGTCGGCCGCACAAAAAATGATGCAGAAGGTGTTCGCGCACTCAGGTTCTCCAGGCGGTCGTGGACTACCAGCGCTGCCCCCTCCTGGCAGTCTGGCTTGCACGGCGACGGAGAGAGAGAGAGAGAGAGAGAGATAGAGAGAGAGAGAGAGAGATCATGAAAAACATAGAGACAAGTAAAAATCGAAGAGCACGCAAACGTTGGCGGACGCGCCGGCGGAGGGCCAGGGCCGGCGGGACGAGCCGGGTGGAAAAGGGCAGCGGGGAAACGGCTAGCGCGAGAGAGGAGATGACGAGAGAGAAGAGAGGGAAGGAAGGGGGCGCAGCAACAGGGTCGTCAGGACCTTGGCATCGATCGGACGTGTGCCTTTTTTCCATCGGCGAGGACCATCGAGGAGCATCCTCGACCATTTGGCGAAAAAACCATGCACGAAACCGAAAAAAAACACAGGGAACGGACGTCCGAGCGATGGCCAGGGACGGGGGTCCGGGGTGAGCTGGGGCGCTCTGCCGCGCTGTGGCCTCCCTCGGGAACACTCGTTGACCTCAACGGCAACAGCGCTTACCTAAAACATCGGGAGCCTTGAGACGGGGGTCAATGCAAACGGGGGTCAGCCAGAGCGCCACTTGCAGGATCCTGCGAAGACCCCCTCTGGCTGACCCGGGTTAGCGAGCCGCTTGTGGCCGCGAGGCGGCCGCGCATCTTGGCAGACCCGGGTTTGCGAAGACCTGCGTTGCAGTTTTTTGTTCTTGCATTGCAGTTGTTTGGTTTCTTGCTGACCCGCTGACCCGGGTCTGGATTGACCCGGGTCAGAAGATCCCCGAAAACAACCAGGCGTCAGTTGGAATTCCTAGCGTCAGCGAAGGGCGTGCGATGCTTGGGTAACCATATAGGGAGGAGAAAAGAGAGAGGGTCGCAAATCAGGAAGGAAAGATCGAGAAATAGAGAGGACAGAGCAAAAAGCAGAGAGAGATAGAGAGAGAAACATCGATTTGTACATATGAAAGAGCGTGTTCTACCGCCGCTGCTGGCGGAAAACTGGGGGAATCACTGGGGGTTCCCAACCCGCCCCCCCCCTCGAAAACCGCGGGAGGGGTCACTGCCGGTTCGAGCACTCCCCTCCCCCTCACAGTCCATCATGAAAAGGTGGAGGCCACTATCGGTTCGACACCCCCCCCGCCGCCGGCAAACGATTCCCTATCTTCGGACAGTGGGACAGTGGGGGGGACATTGGGACAGTGGTGGGGACGGTGGTTGTGGGGACAGTGGCGAGGGGTCTGGGACAGTGGTGGGAACAATGGGGACAGTGGGACAGTGGTGGAGACGGTAGTGGTGGGGACAGTGGTGAGGGCGCTGGTGAGGACGGTGGTGGGATCATGGGACAGTGGTACAGTGGGGAGAGTGGTCGGGACAGTGGGACAGTGGTGGGGACAGTGGGGACGGTGGGACAGCACAGCGGGACAGCGGTGGGGACGGGGGGGACATTGGGACAGTGGTGGGGACAGTGGGACAGTTGTCGGGACAGTTGGGACAATGGGGAGAGTGGGACCGTCGTGAGAACAGTGGTGGGGACAGTGGGGACAGTGAAACACTGGTGGGGGCACTGGTGGGGACAGTGGGACAGTGCTGGGGACAGTGGGACAGTGGTGGGGACGGTGGTGGTGGGGACAGTGGTGTGGAGACAGTGGGACAGTGGTGGGGACAGTGGTGACAGTGACAGTGGGACAGTGGTGGGGACGGTGGTGGTGGTGCGGAAAGTGGGGAGGGCGGTGGTGAGGACGGTGGTGGGACAGTGGCACAGTGGGGACAGTGGTGGGGACAGTGGTGGGAACAGTGGGACAACTCAGTGGGACAGCGGCGGGGACAGTCGGGACAGTGGTGGGGACAGTGGGGACAGTGGGACAGTGGTGGGGACAGTGGGGACAGTGGGGAGAGTGGGAGCGTGGTGGGAACAGTGGTGGGGACAGTGCGACAGTGGTAGGGGCACTGGTGGGCACAGAGGGACAGTGGTGGGGACAGTGGGGACAGTGGGACAGTGGTGGTGTGGGTGGTGGTGAGGAGGACGGTGGTGGGGACCCGGGAGTCGTTTGTCGGCGGTGAATGGAGGGGGGGGTGGGAGGGTTCGAACTGGTAGTGAACCCCCTCGATTTTCTGGAAAGTAGTGACCCCCCACGGTTTTCCGGAGGGAAGGGGGAGGTTGAGGGGAGGGGGGGGGGGGGCCGGGGGAAGGGAGGGGAGAAGGGGGGGGTTCGAGCAAGGGGGGGATGTTCTGAGGGTGGGGGGGGAACCCCTGGTTCTGGAGGAAGAGGAGTGGGAATATTCCAGAGTAAAGCGGCGGTGGATCACGCTCTCTCGTAAATATAAACACATACATAGGCATGTACATATACTTATACCTGTACAGCTACAAAACACATGCATATGTAGATGTGTGTATGTATGCATGTACATGCACATCTACGTATACATCGACGTATACAGATAAATGTGCAAATACGTGTACATATACCTAGACATGTGTGTATATATATATATATATGTGTATACAGCACATGCGTGGCATATACATGTGTATATGTCACATTTTACATGTTTAGGCATAGCCCATCCTGGATCCCGCCGCAACTGCCACGCTCAAGTCTTGAAGGAGCGCGGTGCGCCCGAGCCCATGCGATCTGGGCTCAGCCTTCACCTTCTGTGCCACCTGAGCGCCATAGGCCTGGCGCGCTGGTGGTGGGCGCCGCCCGCTGCGCCCCAGCCTCCGCCGCAGGCGGAGCCGCCCGCGCGGGCTGCTCGCGTGGCGGGCCCGAGCGAGGTCGAGGACGAGGCCATCCACGTGCCCCTGTCCGAGTGCCTGGCCGCGGCGCTGGAGGCGAGGGGTCCGGGCCTGATCTGCCCTGACCCGTGTACCCCTTGCCCGGCCTGCGAGGCAGGCGAGGCGGGCTGGACGCTCCAGCTGGGCATCGGGCTGCTGGCCTACCTGCTGCTGGAGGCGCTGAAGGCGGTCGTGGGCTTGGCTTCGAGCGCGGCGCGGGCTGTTCTACCGGCGGCGCGTGCGGGGCCTGCTGCCCTCAGCGAGCCGACGCTGGACCAGGGCGTGGAGCCGGACCTCGACAAGCTCGCGGCCGAGCAGGCCAGGGCCAGCCGGAGCCGCAGCCGGTGCCAGGGGGTCGGCCACCACGGTGACTGCTGATGGCTGGATCCTTCTATTGTGTGCGGTACAGTGTGCCGGGGCCGCTGCTGTGGCATGAGCGGCTCACGCTGTCGGAGCGCGGGGCCCTCAGCTACATCCTGACGCCGGACTTCGACGACTACGACGAGCCGAACGCGCCGGGACCTGACGTGGCGGCGGTGGTCCGCCTGGCCGGGCAGGGTGCCAACCCTCCAGGCCTCGCGGGCGGTCACGTGTACCGCTTCCGGCGGCTCCCGACAGCTGCGGAGGCCTGGGGCGCGGTGGGGCGAGCGGTGGCAGCCGGCTTCCCGCCGCCGCCCCCGGGAGCGCTGATGCTGGACCTCGCGGCCGGCAATGTCCTCGGGGTGGCGGCCGGGCCGTGCGCGCTGGCCAACCCGGCTGCGGCAGCGGCGCCGGCCCCAGCGGCTGCCGGCGCGCTGGTCGATGCGCCGGCCGCTGCCGCGCCCGCCGCCGCCGGCGCGGCAGGAGGCGGTCTCGCCGGCCTCGTGGCTGCCCTCGGCGGCCCCGCAGGCGGGCCTGGGGCAGCGGCGGCTGCGGGCGCGCCGGCCGCTGCGGGGGCACTGGCCGCTCCTGCCGTGGATCCGGGCGCGGCGGCGCCAGCCGCAGACGCGGCGCCTGCCGCCGCTGGAGGTGCTGCCCCAGCCGCGCCGGCGGCGCCTGCCGTGGTCGGCGTCGGGCCCGCTGCCGCCAACGCGCCTGATCTGCGAGTGCTGGCTGCCACACATGATGGGCGTGGCCAACGGTTCTTGGACTTCCGGGAGGGCCTGCTGGCGCAGTCGGAGCACGCGTGGGCCGACTTCCCTGTCAGAGGACCGCGGACCACGCACTGGGTACTGCAGTACATCCAGCGGCACGGCGGCACGCCCCTCGCGCGGCATTCGCGCTGGAGGAGCGAGAACGGGCTCGATCCAGATGACGCTGGGGTCGAGGTTCACTTGCTGTGCAGTCGCCTCTTGGAGACCATGATCTCGCACGATCAGTTGAATGCCTGTGACTTGGCCTGTGCCGAGCTGATCGCGAGGACGCTCCAGGTTCAGGAGGAGCGGTACCGCGCGCGCAGCAGCTCGTCGGAGCCCGAGAACATCAACCGCGATCTCATGATGGGGACCGCTGAAGTTCGAGGAGATGTATGCGTGTCGCCCGCCCTCCAGCAGTACGTGTCAGCTGAGCTCGCGCGAGAGGTGGCGGTGCAGAAGGAGCTCAGGAAAGCCCGTGAAGAGCGTCAGTTGGCTGCTGGCGCGGCGGGCGGCAACGACAAGGACAGGGGCAAGAAAGGCAAGAAGGGCAACAAGGGCGAGGGGTGAATGTACGCCAGGTGGAGGCTCGGGGCCCGGCCTTCACCCTCGATAGCCTTGAAGGGCTGCAGGGTCCACCCGGCCTCCTGAAGGTCGGCGGCACGAAGCATCGGCGGGATGTTCCTGATGGGCGGCACCGTGACATCTTCCCTCTCC